GAGCACACAGATCAGCCCCCTGTTCACAACGCATCAGCCCCTGTCAATCCTCCCACCATCTCCTCCAGGACAAACTGCCTTGTTCCTTCCTTTTCCTTGTCTCTGCTCCTCCTAAGCATCCCATGTCGTCCACAATACAAAAAAATTTTCCGCTTCATCCCATAAGGGATTTGATCCCCTTGTGTGCAGAAACACCCCTGAGTTTGTAACATGTTCCTACCTTCCCACAATTCTGGGGGCTGTCATCCCCAGATATAGGAGTTGACCAGGACACCTGAATGGAGGGGATGTAGATATCTGTGAGAAGAGGGTTGTGCTGGTTGTGTCCCTGCCAGAGAGAGGTGGTGTGTCTGACTCTGGGTGGGCTGTTTACAGCAGCTGCTGATCCCAGAGATGTTTCCCTTGATGGGCCTCATCTGTGGTCTGGGGAGAAGGGAGAGAAAACCCCTGTGGGGAGAGGGAGTCAGACACCTGTTTCCTTGTGCCTTTGGCTGTTCCTGCTTCTACCTCCTTTCAGACAGTGCCAAGGGACAAGTAGCACATGGGTGGCTGCAAGGGGGCCTGTCTCCAGTCCCATGAGAGGGACCTTGTCTCTGGCTGGGCAATGGATGGCAGGAGAAGCTCACCATGGACACTCCTGCCTTGCTGGGGGCTGTGTGGGCTGATTGTGATCTCCATGAGGAGCAAAAAAGCAGTGAAATGGCCTGCAGCCTCCTATAGTCTGACAGCAGGCTGCTTGATCTCTTCCTTCAGGCTCCTGCCTAAAGTTTCAGGTGGCCCAGGCCCCTTTGGCAATGAAACCTGGAGCTGAGAGTCAGCGCTTCTACACCAGGGTGAGTGTGTGTGATAGGATAGTCAAGCACCTTCTGACAAGGACGGCTGACTGTGCCACCATCAACCTCTCACTGCTGAATAACCTCCTCTTGGTCCTTGAAAACCTGAAACAGTGTAAGGGTTGCAGTTTAGTGTCTTTCCTTTAATTTCTAACACTATCGAGCATTGTCGTACGAGAGGTGCGGAGCCCCAAGCATGCCTGACTCAGAAGTCGCTTTTCTTCATTCTCTCTCATCATCTATTTAACAGAGATCACCAAGATCCCTGCCCATGAGCCTTCTCTCCAGGCTGAACACTGCCAGCCCTATCAGCCTGTCCTCATAGCAAACATGATCCAGGCCCTGCACCATTTTACTGGTCTCGTTCCAACACCTTTCTTGTACCAGGGAACCCAGAACTGGAGCCAGCACTCCAGAAGTAGTCTCACCAGAACTGAGTAGAGCAGAAGGATTAGGACCTTTGTACTGCCGGCAACACTCTTCCTACTGCAGCCCAGGATGTTATTGGTGTTCTTTGCCAGGAGGGCTCATTGCCACAGCAGACACAGGAACAACCCTGAGCTGCTGAATCTGAGCTTGTCCAGCTCTAACTCTTCCCTCAACATCCACTCATGACCACTGTTGAAGAAGGGGGCTCTTGGTAGGAGACATGACTGCTCCTGTGGCTTTATCTCCTTGCTACAGAAGCCCAAGGAGGGAAAATATCTTCCTAGCCCTGCATCTGGGGATCAGTGAAGGCCTCATTTGTGAGCAAGACCCATCAGCCAGACACTGGACTAGATTCTCTATTGAACCCCTTGAGCTGTCCCCCTGCTTTTCATGTCTCACCTCCAGCTCTGGGGACTCACCAGTGCCTGCCTGGGGCTGGAATGTCTGTGTCCCTGTGGGTTTTCCTGCCAATACAAACCCACTGGAGGCTCCATTTGTGGGATGTGCATTTCTGGCCTCTAGTTTGTCCCTCTGTGCACACGCCTGTTGTTATGCTAAATCTGTTTTGGAAAGCAAAGAGCTGGCCCTGGTGAGGAGAATTTGTGGGGGAAGCTGACAAAAGCAGCCATTGTAGCATACCAACATGGTCTAACTAATGGAGAGTTGCCTCTTTAGTAGTGTTGTGAAAACGAGGAAGTCAGTCCGGTCTTGCGCAGCTGGCACCGAATATGTGACAGACACAAATCGGGAGACAAATAGTAATCGTTTATTCACAGCAACATTTACATGTTCTTTTGGATTGCTTGTGATAAATTAAAAGCTACAGGTATAACACAAGGTTTACCACTAATATAACACCACCACCACACACTATACACACACGTACACACCAACAACAATAACAACTTGCCCGCTGTAGGCCTGGCCGCTTGGCAAATAGATAAGCACGTTGAAAAGGGATACAGTGGAACAAGAAACAGTAAAGACGAAACACACAAGAATCAAGGATACACTCAGGGAAGCATAGAAATGCACCTGAGGAGAAAATATGAAATACACCAGGGGAGGAAAAGTATATCTCTCAGCGTTAGCGGAGGTAAATAATCTTACCCACATGGCATCCTGAGTGGGGGGGATGGAGAAGGAGCGAATTCATCAATCCGTCCAGTCGTCGGCATGGTTCCGAGTTGATCCTGTCCTGATTTTTGGGCCAAAATTGGGGTGATATTTATACTCGAATTTTTACATTACATCACCAGGGTATACGTGAAGGTAGGGATGACTATAGACAATCATAATCGCTTATGGTAATGCCACAAAGTCTGTTCATGGGTGGAGATAGTGTCTCCCTTTTGATAGGACAAAGAGATTTGCTTTATGTTAATGCCACAAAATCTGTTAATATAAACTTGCATGGGTGGAGGTAGTGGCTCCTTTTGTTCAGGGAAAAGAGAATGGGGGACTGGGACCAGCAGGCCTCTGCCCCGTCTCACACTCCTCTGGGCATCCACATAACACCAGATATCGATCTAGCGATGGTTGCCCCCTGCCCAGTGCTTGTCACTTTGCCCAATGCTGAATTTCATGCTTTCAAGCATGCAGCTACATGGTGTACATGACTTGGACTTTGTGATTAACTTTGCGCTCACTACAACATCCTTGTCTTTATACTCAAGAGACATGGATTTGCTGGATGGACCACTCTGTGGATCAGGAATTGGCTAGATGGTCATACTCAGGGAGTCATGGTCAATGGCTCAATGTCTAAGTGCAGACTAGTAAGTGGCATTCCTCAGGGGTCGGTATTGGGACTGGTGTTATATAACATCTTTGTCAGTGACATGGACAGTGAGATTGAGTGCACCCTCAACAATTTTGCTGATGACACCAAGCTGTGTGGTGTGGTTGACACATTGGAGGGAAGAGAGGCCATTCAGAGGGTCCTGGACAGGCTGGAGAGGTGGGCCCATGCAAACTTCATGAAGCTTAACAAGGTCAAGTGCAAGGTCCTGAACCTGGGTCGGGGCAATCCCAAGTACAGATAGAGGCTGGGCGATGAGTGGACAGGGAGCAGCCTGGCAGAAAAGGACTTGGGGGTGCTGGTAGATGAAAGACTGAATACAAGCCAGCAATGTATGCTCGCAGCCCAGAAAGCCAATCACATCCTGGGCTGCATCAAAAGAAGTGTGGCCAGCAGGTCAAGGGAGGTAATACTCCCCCTCTACTCTGCTCTGATGGGAGCCCACCTGGAGTACTGTGTCCAGCTCTGGGGCCCTAGTGTAAGAAAAACGGACCTCTTTAAGCAGGTCCAGAGGAGACCTGGTGATCAGGGGGCTGGAGCACCTTCCTTATGGGAACAGGCTGAGAGAGTTGGGCTTGTTCATCTTGGGGAAGAGAAGGCTCAGAGAGACCTTATAGCGACCTTACAGATCTTGAAGAGGGCCTAAAGGAAAGGTGGCGAGGGACTCTGTCAGGGAGGGCAGTGATAGCACAAAGGGAAAATAGTTTCAAACTGAAAGAGGGTAGATTTAGATTCGTTATTAGGAAGCAATTCTTTACTGTGAGGGTGGTGAGGCCCTGAAACAGGTTGCCCAGGGAAGCTGTGGATGCCCCCTCCCTGGAAATGTCCAAGGCCAGGTTGGATGGGGCTCTGAGCAACATGGTCTAGTGGGAGGTGTCCCTGCCATGGCAGTGGGGTTGAAACTAGATGATCTTTAATTTCCCTTCCAACCTAAACTATTCTATGATGCTATGATAATTCTGAGCCCCGCAACCTAACCCCACCCTGACACCCCAGCACAGCTCCAGGCATAACAACAGGAACACCCTTCCTCAAGAGCTCTTGGGGCTCCTGACACCTCAGGGCTGTGTGGGATCTCAGCTGGACTGAGGCCTATGGACAGGATGACTTTGACCTTGAGAGGATTCCAGTCTACCCGTGAGAGAACAAACAGGAGCAAGAAGAGCTCTTGCAAGATAAGCAAGTTCTGAGAAAGTGTCGACCGTAAGACAAGGCATACATGTCCTTTTGGCAGAAGAGCTGAGTTATAATGAACTGTGCAAATAACAAATGATTCAGATTGCATAACAACTTTGAACCAATTAAAGGAGACACATCTGGGAAAGCTAAGGGGAAAGAGAGTACAAATGAACAGAGAAAGAGAGCAATAAAGGCTTTTGTACTAACTGGCTTTCAAAAAGATTTGTTGTCTTGTTGCTTTGTCCGTCTTGACCATGACACAGGGCCACCTGCCTTTCTGGTCATTTGTGAGCAAAGAGACAGCAGGGCAAGGCCTGATGGTCACTTGCAGCAGAGCAGCCAGGGATGGCTTCCTCAGCTCCAAGGGATGGTGCCCAACAGAGGAACTACATCAGAGTGTCCCAACCTCCCGTTCCCCTGTGAATAGTGAAGGGCCTGCTTGTGCCCTCACCCCCTTTTACCCCAGAGCAGCACCCTTCTCCTTTGGCAGCTCAGGGAGTGTTCAGAGATGGAAGGACCACATGGAGGCCCTGACTGAATGCAACAGAAATTTAATGAGTCAGTAGAGGGGAACAAAGTCACTCCAAGTGAGAGGTAGCTCTGGGGGCAGATGAGAGTCTGCAGTCCTTGCCATGGAGAAGTGTTAGAAGGGTAATATCAGTCAGCTTTGCTGAAAATAAAATCCAGATCCATCCTCTGCCCAGCACCATGTTTGGAGTTCCTCAAGGTGTCTCCCTGGGGTTTTCCCAGCATCTTGATCACAGGAGGCACCTTCTGCCACCACAGCAGCTGGAAAAGCCAGAGAGGTCACAGCAGCCAGAGTTGATGGGCACGCCATCACAGCTGAGGATGCTGCCAACAGCAGCGGAGGTGGAGGAGCCCACAACGGTGTTCTGTGGGAAGGAGCTGAGGATGGGGCCAGGCAGGGTCACCACCACAGCGGGAGGCTCAATGATGACAGTGGAGTTCTGGCACTGCCTGACACAGGGCTCGTTGCAGCTGTTGGCTAGTGGGGTTGGGCCACAGGGCCGGCATGGCAGGCACGGGTTGTAGCAGGACATGTCTTGAGGCTGGAGGTGCACCTGGGAGAGAGGGCAGGGAGGAAGCAGAGTTTCCAGGTTTGTGCCATGCCCATTCCCCAATGAAGTTTTGTTCTGAGCACTGGGATGAAAGGCCCCAAGATTTTTCAGTCAGGAATGCAGCAGTGCTGGCAGAAGACTCAGATAAGGTGCTGGACAGGTCCAAAGCAGGCAAGTGACTTCAGCCTGGGACAGTGTGGTGGCAGTGTTTGAAGTGCTGTTCTCAGGAAGAAGCTATAGCCATCTTCAACTGGATGCCCATGGGCTGTCATGCATGAGGACATACCCTGTTCTTTTCTTTCCCTCACTCCACAGCTCACCCCAATGGTCATTTGTTGTTGCCTCCCCACCTGTGCCCATTGTGCTGCTAGGTTTTGACCCCACCCTGCCTAACACTGCCCTTAGGAAAAAATTCTGGCCTGTTTTGACTTATCTCCTCCTGTGCAGTCTCTAAGTACACAAATAATTCTATGGGATTGGCTGGGGCCTTGTCCTTCCCAGCAATGCTTTAGCCCTTCTGTGGTTGTTCTCAGGTGTCCTTAGCAGAGTCTGTGCTTCATTGTATTCCTACAGGTGTTGTTGTCTTGTGTGCTTTTGCAAGCAGCTGGATTTGTGTGGATGAATGTGGGAGCACAAATTTGTGCATGGTTCCACATTGGTGTACGTGAGCCTCTGTGTGTGTCGTTGTGTGTCTTTTGGGGATTAAAACAGTTTACTTGTAGAATATTAGCGTTACTTGTGTAATCGCTTAAATTTAGTCTGAATTGGAACTTGTTTTACTTTGATTAGCATGAGTGACATCACTTAGCACGCGTTAAGGAAGACTAGTCATTTAGCTCAAACAAGTGAGCTTTACAAAGCACGAACTGCTTTGTGTAATTTGGTAGAATAATTAGCATAACTTGCTTAGCATGAGTACCTAGTTTTACTGAAGCCATTATGCTGAATTTATACTTATTGGACTAAACTGTTCCATGAGGGGAGGGGAGGGGAACTTGGATTACAAGAGTATAATTGCCCAAGGGTTTCTTTGTTCAGGGTCCCTCTCGGAGGGTCCCAGCTCAAGCTGAAATAAACTCACTCTGTGGCAGAACCTAGGGTCCAAAATCTTCTTTGTGGGCTAAGACTGGATCCAGATGCACCTAGACTTCCCTCTGAGAGGAAGTTTAGAAAGCAAGCGGGTCCAGTCTGAACCTCACGACTCGGCAGACAGTCTCCTCAGACACTTCTATAACAGTGTCCCTCATCACAAGGAAATGTGCTGCTGATGGCAGGGGCAGTCTCCACTGCTCTCTCCATAAGCACTGCAAAGCAGCAGTTTCCCACTGCCAGAAGAAACCCACGTGCAATCTAACAGTGATGGCACCAGGTTGCTAGAGATCTTTTAGGCACTGAAATGAAGCTCTTGCCTCCTGAGCCCTCCTTTTCCTGACCCTCCAAAGCTGTTGCCCATTTCAGGACCCAACAAGGATGGTTTCACTACAGTTTGGATCCTTAGTTTAATTCAGTGTAACAATATTGGGAGTGCCTCAGCAGGGCTGTGAGTGCCCCCTTCCCTGCCTCTCCAGGCCAGGACACAGCTGCTCTCCCCAGGACTAGAGAGTCCAAAAGGGTGGGGATTGCTCTACAGGCAAGGAGAAAGGCTGAGGAATCCTGTCAACCATGTGCTGGGCATCTCTGAGTGGATCTGCTTCCAATGCAGTTTTGGTGGTGTCTGGGGTGAGACACAGCCCCCTCTCATGTCTAAGCCCATGCCAAAAGCACATGTGCAGGTCATTGACCTCGTGCTGTGTCAGGCAAGCTGTGAGACTTGGCCCAAACTGAATAAAAGGAACTTGGAGCTTGATGTTGCTGTGATCTGAATGGAGGTTACAGCCGCTGTGGCTTTCACAAGGAATGCCAAATAAATGATGACTGCCTTGGACTTCAACCCACAAGGGCTGTCATGCCCCACATTGGCATCTCAGTCTGAGTGCCCAGCAACAGCCTCTGGGATGGAAGGGACATTAGATACAAGGAAGAAGTTCGTTACCCTGAGGGTGGTGAGACACTGGAACAAGTTGCCTAAGGAAGCTGTGGATGCTGCATCCCTGCAAATGTTCAAGACCAGGCTGGATGGAGCCTTGAGCAACCTAGTGGGAAGTGTCCCTGCCATGGCAGGGGGGTTAGAATGAGATGATCTTTGAGGTCCCTTCCACTCCAAACCATTCCATGATTCTGTGATTGGATTCAAGACTGCATGCCCCAAGGGCTGCTGCCCTACAGGGATATCCAGAAGACACCCTCTTCCCAACAAGGGCTGTCCATCATGTATAAACTTCCTGAGCCCTTCCCTCCTGAAGGTCTTCCTGCCTGGGCTCCAGTCCAACTTGGAGACAGGGCAGCCAAGGCTTCCCCCCTTCTCTTTAGTGACCTTTGGTGACACCAATGCCAGGGAGCTCTGCTGGGAGAGTTCAGCCAGGGATGATTCCCCTCTCTGTGGAGCTGCTTCTGCGCTGAAGCTCTAATGCAGTTGAGGGCAAATCTCACTGGTTTCTCTTGAGGTAAGAGGCACTGTGGCAAAAGGGATGGGCAGGTGATGTAGAATGGAAAGGAATGGAATGGACTGGACTGGACTGGAATGGAATGGACTTGAATGGACTGGAATAAAAAAGAAAAGAAAAGAAAAGAAAAGAAAAGAAAAGAAAAGAAAAGAAAAGAAAAGAAAAGAAAAGAAAAGAAAAGAAAAGAAAAGAAAAGAAAAGAAAAGAAAAGAAAAGAAAAGAAAAGAAAAGAAAAGAAAAGAAAAGAAAAGAAAAGAAAAGAAATCAATCGGAAGGGATGTACAATGAACACCTGGTCCAACTGCCTGATCAATTCAGGGCTGACCGAAAGCCAAGGCATGTTATTAAGGCATTGTCCAAGTGCCTCTTAAACACTGACAGGCTTGGGACATCAACCACCACTCTAGGAAGACTCTTCCAGTGTTTGAACCCTAATGTATGTACCTAGAGTTTAGCAGGATCTTTGACAGACTCTTGTATTTCCTTAATGACCAAATTGGAGATTAAAGGATTCAGTAAGAGCATGATAAGGTGACTGGAAAAGTGACTGGACTACCAGTCTGAGGGAGTTGTGACCAGTGACACAAAGCTCAGATGGCTCACACTTACTTCTGGGGTCTCAGGAATCAGAAATAGTGTCAGTACTCTAATGTTTTCATGAACACCATGAGTACTGGGAAGGCCAGCACTTCCTGTGAGTTTGGGGATGACACCCAATCACAGGGAAGAGGCGGTACAGGAATCTCTTTAGCCAAATTGTTCCTAGCAGGTCCAGCAACTACTTGTTCAAAAGGAAAGAGAGAAGATGGACTAGACTGTGGAAGTCTTCCATGACAGGGGTAGAGGCAATGAACATCTGCTGGAAGATGGGCAGTTGTAGTAAAGCAATGGGCTAGAAAAAGTAATGAGAACTAGAATGGATTTCCCTGGGAGATTCTGCAACCTCCATCCTGGAGCAGCCTGACCTAATGGAAATTTTTCTAAGCAGGGGTTGATCTCAGTGATGTCTGGAGGTCCCTTCTGACTTGCACTCTGACACTGTGATTTCCAGCCACCTCTGCCCTCCCTGAACCCTGCATGTCCATGGGCACATTTGTCCTCATATTCCCTTTACCACAACACAACTTTTCGGCATTTTGCTCTGACTGCAGAGGGGCAGCTGAAGGGAGGCTTTCAGCCTCCTCACTGCCATCCACAGGAAATCAGTGGCTGCTCTTTCCATCCCCTGAGCTCGTAGGCAGCTCTGGGAAGCCAAACTTGTGCCCGTGCAGAGCCA